TGCAGACACCACCTCCATTCACGTTCCTGTCCCTTCTCACTACAAGATAATCTTCAATTTCAATCTCTGAATCTGTAATGGAATTGTCCAATTTGGTCTCAGAAAAGCATAATATGCTTGCCTTACCGTTCATGAACAGTTGCCTGAGTTCAGCCAGTTTGTGTCTCAGGCTGTTAGTGTTCAGATGAAAAATATGTAGTCCATTTTTGTTGTTTAAATGCATAATGTCGTCAGCTTGAAGATATTTGTCTTTGTCCGTTACAGCAAACGGCTTGCGGCCTGCCGTGGTGCTTGGAGCGGTGGGGTGGTGGGGGGAGGGAGGCTCCGTTGTAGCTTTAGCCGTCGATATGCTAGCAGGGTGGCTAACAACATGGTGGATATTTGTTCCCTCGGATCTCGGTTCTCTTCCTCTCGTCACTGCCTCATGCGTGTCTGTCTGCCGAGGCGTCCCCGGGGGAATGTCGAAGTCTCCGTTGATTCCTCGGTCTCCGCTGTCTCCATGGTCTCTGTTGTCGTCGCGTAGTTGTTGCTGTAGCGGAAGAGATGCTAGTTGTGATGCTAGTTGTGATGCTAGCTCCTCGAGCATGCAGGAATGGCTTCTTGTCTGCACCGGGCCCGGATTCAGATGGATGTCTCCCGCTAACAATAAGACCAAGACGATCATACTTCTTCGGTCTAGTTTGCCTGACGGGGGTAAGTACTTTCGCGTCGGGTTTGCAGTTAATAATGCATGAATGCTTGCACTTCCAAAAGCGAGGTGTTTCCTTTCCCAGCCGTTGAGAAGGTAAAAGTCATTGTGGTTCATTTTATCCCTGCTTTCACTACTCTCCTTCTCTAAGTGATGTTGCCTCATTGATGAGTTGAGGTAGGAGTCCATAATCCATATTGTCAGGAGGATGAAATATGTAAAAAATCGTGAGGAATAACCTCCAAAGCGGGAGCTCCCGAAAATGCGACCACTCATAGCGAAACCGGAAGCCCAACCAATGTGAGTTTGGAAAATTGCACAATATAAATCTATTCTAGTAGACCTCAACAATGGAATTATGATCAGTGGAAATGGCCATGACATGTCTCCTTTAAGGCTGATTGGAGGGTGCATCATCTGGTATATACTCCAAAATCTTTATCTTATGTGTTGACTATTCGCTCATATTGAATTTTTCAACTGTGTAGAAACTTTTACATGTGCATTTTTATAATTTAGGCTGCTTTCCAGTGGCGGCACCAGAGTATTTTTGTTGGGTAATCTATGGTAGGGCTAACCCATACAGTAGTGGGGCTCAAGTCAGTATTTGCAATGTAATTACATACACGCTATATCGCCCCCCTTGACAGTGAAACGCCACGCGTGAGGTTTTGATTAGTTCCCTGTCTCAATCAAAATTGAACTGTATGAAATAAAACGGCACATTTGTCTTGTAGTAAATAAAAAGGGATCACTGTGAACGTTACGTATGATAGTACACGTTGAAGATCCAATGGGGATACAGAATGGCGGTTCCGATTGATCTCAAGCGGTAAGGCATGACGCAGACCCAAAGTTTCGTTGCTCTGATTGGCTGTAGGTCTATTCAAATTGCATTCGGAGGCATTTTATTTATTTATTCTTTTGCATGTAATCCAGCTTTTATTGTGAAGCACCCGCAGGAAACGGAAAGATGTTGTCACTGAGGTTAGTACTCAGCAATTTTGGTTATCAAAAAGGTGCCTACAAAAAAAGATAACTGTAATTTTCTGCTCTTTTTCTTTGTCAGCAGACCATTTTTAATTACACAAGTTGTCCTTTTGTAAAGTAGCTGCTCAGGGAATGTTTGCTGTTACTACGGGAACCAGGACTGAAATCTTACAACTTTAACTGAACTGAAGCTGGAAGTTAAAGTACTTCCACAGGGAATATCCTTTCTCTCTGTCAGGTGACGGCTCACCTTTTCAACAATAATTTACTGAAGACACTTTGAGTTTGAAAAAGCCACTAAATAACATAACCATAGGTTTGCAAGGGTTTTCTTTGTAATCCAAATAGGCGTCATTAAGGTTAAGTGGTTACAATCAAGGCAGAGCAGTAATGTTCAAAGAGGGTGTAGTCGGGGTAAATGATGTCCCCGCCCAGTTTGGGTTTCAGATCCTGGCTGCCTTTGCTGGTCTTATCCCCGTAGACCTCCTGCAGCTCGTGGGGCCTCCTTCTGCATGTCGGAGGGTCCCAGGTACTGTTTGGTGTAGTAGTCTCCTCTGAAGGTCCGGCGCGACCGCATGAAGCAGGCCCCGCCCAGAATCAGCAAGAGGATCAGGAACAAGACTCCGCCCACAGCCCCGCCCACGATGGTACCCAGGCTGCAGTCAGGTAAGGAGGCCAGGGTGGGGGAGGTGGTGCTGCCGTGGTAGGGGGGGGTTCTTGTACCCAGAGGGTTACATCTTGACTGCGGAGGCCGATGTCGTTGATCACTTCGCAGCGGTACACTCCAGAGTCATTGCACTCCAAAGGGCGAGTGATAGAAAAGCTATTGTTTGATATCTCAACACCCTCTGGCATCACTCCATCCAACCTGGTCCATTTGAAGAGACGGGCAGGTGGGTTGGCCACGGCTCCACAGGTGAACTTCACATTCTCTTGTCCCACATACCAATTTTTGTCAATCGACACCACTGGTGAGAACTGCACATTCAGTATGTAGGGTATGCGGAACTTTCTCTGCAGGACCGGGTGGTGCACCACGCAGGTGAGCAGCTTCCCCTGGGCGTGAATCTGCGGGTTCCACATGTAGCGCACACGTACGGTGGAGAAGCCGTTGGGCTCCCCCTGACTCTCCCTCTCACTTCGTTCATACAGCTCCGTCTCCCAGAAGACCACTGCAGCGGGGCGGCCGTGCTCTGCGATGCAGGTCGCCACCAGCGACTCGTTGCCACCATCCAGCAGAGCCGCTGGGCCCGCAGACACATAGACCTTTGGCGCCACTTGTACCCAGAGGGTTACATCTTGAATGCAGAGGCCGATGTCGTTGATCACTTCGCAGCGGTACACTCCAGAGTCATTGCGCTCCAAAGGGCGAGTGATAGAAAAGCTATTGTTTGATATCTCAACACCCTCTGGCATCACTCCATCCAACCTAGTCCATGTGAAGAGACGGGCAGGTGAGTTGGCCTTGGCTCCACAGGTGAACTTCACATTCTCTTGTCCCACATTCCACATTTTGTCAATTCCGTTTATCCCCACCACTGGTGAGAACTGCACATTCAGTTTGTAGGGTATGCGGAACTCTGTCTGCAGGGCCGGGTGGCGCACCACGCAGATGAGCAGCTTCCCATGGGAGTAGCTCTGCGGGTTCCACATGTAGCGCACATGTATGGTGAAGGTGCCGTTGGGCTCCTCCTGACTCTCCCCGTCATTTCGTCCATACAGCCAGATGAGGTCCGTATGCCAGAAGACCACCGCAACGGGACGGCCGCGCTCTGCGATGCAGGTCGCCACCAGCGACTCCTTGCCACCATCCAGCAGAGCTGCTGGGCCCGCAGACACATAGACCTTTGGCGCCACTAAAACATTTACTTTGGTTGATGCTTGTGTGTCGCCCTCAGGAAATGTAACCACTGTGCAGGTGTAGGTCCCGACATCTGCTAAGACTGCTCCTTCAATCGTGATGGTAGCATTTCGCACGGAGGGGGAAACAAACGAGATGTGCTTGGCGTAGTCTGGAGAGATGGAGGTTCCAAGCTCGGGGTTGAACACTGCCAAGGTAATGTTGCCTGAAGGGAGACTGCGTTGCCAGGAGCTTTGCGTGAAGTTTGAGGCTGAGCCCACCTCTATTCTGCAGCCCAGAGTGACGTTCTTCCCCAGCACGGCGTTCACTTTCTCAGGAACAACCACCTGGTTACCGCTGGCATAGGTAAGTCCGTAAAAGGTGAGAAGCGTTGTTAAAAGTCGCAGTCCGTTATCGTTTCTAAATGATTCCTATGTGTGTGTGTGCACAACACGTGTTGTGCCGTAGGTTCAAGGCTTCTTCTCCCTATATTTTGATCTGACCACGGCCGCGCTGATATTATAGCGCGAGAGAATTTCCACACCTTTAGTGTATAAAACTCCCCCACTACTTAGACTATTCCTTGCACCCCTCTTCTAGCATAAGCCCGAATGGTCTCAACCATATTGCATCAGTAACGTGCACTTATTGTTACAGCAGGATCAGTTTGTGTGTTGTGGACACGACCCGTATATTTTCGCAATCTGTGTTCTCAACATTTAGCATTTTGCTTATTATTTAATTTAATTTGCTTACTTTAACATAATTTTTCATGGTGTGGGCTAAGGTGGGGATAAGCCATTTCTTGGTATGGCTGTAGCCAGGGGCGGACTGGGACTACAAATCATCCCGGGACTCTCGACCGGCCCACGCCCCTGGCTGTAGCCTACCCCAGCCATACCCTGGCGCCGCCACTGCTGCTTTCACATGTTACGCTCATTGCTCAGCGAAAGGTTGCGCGGAAACAAGTTGTTAAGTTTTGTTTCTATGGTTACCTCCCCTGCTAACTTGTGTCCCTACACACATCTTCTTCTTCTTCTTTCGTGTAACGTCAGAGGTCCAACTCGGTGTCGTGTAGCCATGCCCGCATCTCTGGTCCTAAGTCGAAGAGGCTGGCTTCTGAGGGTGGTCTATATAAAGGGCAGGTGGTGATTACGTGTTCGGCAGTCTGTTCAGGGTCACCGCACTCGCATGCAGCACTGTCTGCCAGGCCCCACTTCTTCATCTATGTTTTGAAGCGACCGACCCCAGTTCGTAGACGGTTTAGTGTGGTCCATTGCCGGCGTGGTAGGTCGTCTCCTCCTATGGCGCCATCTCCTGGGTCCCAGATGTAGCGATGGATGCGGGAGGGCCCGGCTAGCTCCCACTCCTGCCTCCAAGCAGCCGCCAACCATGCATCTCTGGAGAGGTCCTCAGAGGTGGAATTGAGAATCTCTTGTGCTGCCTTGTTGAAGGGGAGGCGGGACTTGAGCCTACTTAGAGGATGTGCCAGTCATGCTTTTGGGCTTTCCTGGCCAGGGCGAGGGTGGCAGCCTCCCGTCGGAGGCCGGCCGGAGCTATTCCCGCGAGGACTGGCAAGAGGGACACAGGGGTAGGCTTCAAGCATCCAGTTATAATAATGATGTTTACTTTCAGTTTCGTTTATGAGACGACAGTGCCTTTTCCTCCCGTTTTTCCTCAACATTGCCTTTGCCTTTATACTGTTAAGTGTTGCGCGTAAATGTATAAGGGTGAGTGTCTATTTGTGCAATGTAAACTTGTCAGTGTTTATATGTAGTAAATAGTCATATTAGTATATATTTTAGGAGGCAGTAATGTCTCTAGTTTGTTAGCGGTGCTGGATGATAGTGGTAGCTTAGTTACTAACTTCTTTGTATTTGTGTATTTCACTCAATTGTTTAATTCATTTGTATTGATTATATAATTGTTTATTATAGATATATTGTGATTATTATTAATGCCATTCATTGTTTGTACTATTGTTACATACCACACACATGGCTAACAGCAAGAACAAGTATCATTAAAGACCACTAAACTGGGAAAGTCTGTTCTCCGTGTTCTTTTACTGGGACACACTCATCCACACCGTGCCATCTCTAAGCCAATTTCCTGGAGACCCCGTCTCCTTTACAGCTTCAATACGACTAACTTCTTCCCTCACCTTCTGTTATGAAGCACATTTACTGACATGGGGCTGTTTTTTCATGTAAAAGTATCTCTTTTCTTGGACCCCCGTTCATATATATTGACAGAACATTTTCTGCTGGACATCTGCGGTTGCTACTGTTGAACTTTCCTGTTGGCTCCCAGACCGTAGTCGAGGAAACGGGGGGATGACTCTCTGTCGTCTCCCAGGGCAGAAGCAACAAGCTTCAGGTTCAATAACCCACTTTAGCTTAAATGACTGGAGAGAGGCGAGCTCTTCTTGGGAGGCTGTTGCATTTATTTAGTTGTTCTTCTGTTTCACAAAATACATCACAGACCTCTGTTTTTCTGCTGCCTCGTTTCACTTCCAGAAACATACACACGCTCGCTCGCTCACTCTCGCTCTACCACACACACACATGCACGCGCCACACCCCTCTCTCTCTCTCTTAAAGGGACAGCGATCTCATCTCACTCTGCATGACCCTAATATCATAACACTAGGATATTTGTGATGTAACTTCAACCCCTATTTACATTGAGTGAATTATACAAAGTGAAATATTTATCACTACTGTTATTGCTACGTAAAAGAGTTAAAGACATTATTGCTCTGCTTCTTTTCCATCCTCTCTACTGATAGTAGGTGAGACTGAGAGGCCATCGATCACATTCCAACACTAAGAGAAGTGACAGTGTTAAAGGTGTGGGGGGCTTTGTGTGGGTCGGGGTATACTGGCTATGGGTATGGGTGGTACATTTTGAGTAATGACCCTCTCATTGAGACAAGAATGATGTAAAAACAGTATCAAGGAATAAGAAGGAGAGAGGAGAGCAACATATAAAGACAAAGAGAAGGATGTTTCACATTCTCCCCTCTAATAGGAGGAAAGGAGCAGGAAGAAAGGATGGCAGTTGAGGAAGACTGAAATACCAATAACTCCTCCTGACAACAACTCTAACATTCCTGAGATGCTACCTATTTGTTTCCATGCCTACGAATGTCCTCTTTAGGAATTCCAACAGAATTATTGATGAAATGATGCTGCAACAGGCAACTTGAGCAATACTGTGTGATAATACTCTCTACACAAACATCAGAACATGATATAAAACATATTTAGATCCTAATTACTGTGTCTAAATGTGTGTACTTCTGTACTTACATGTGCTATTTTGAGTGCATACTCAACTATACTTATTATTTATGTGAAGGCGAATAATCGATTAATATTCGCCAGGGCTGTCCGATTTTCGAATTTGATCATGGTCAGTTTCTGGCATCCCTAGTGCACGTGTGTCCCAATACCAAAATATGGTAGTATGCAGTGTATTTATTTTACTCTTTAATAAATGTACCATCCACTGGTGTTGAAAAGAAGCTAATGTTAAATTAATTGGGTTGATTGAGCAATCTGTAATGATTTGCGACAGTGAATGATTAGCTAGCTAATTAGATAACAGCAGTAATGGTCACTTCAGTCGAGGGCAAGGCAAAAGTTTGCAATTTAAGACAACACCACATGGTTGATTTGTACACAGTGCTTAAGTGCTCACAGTGTAAGATATGCAGTGAACTAAGGGAAGTGTCCACATTGAGACACAGAATATGAGTCCAATGGAGTCTCATTACAAAGTAACAGTTTACTCTAGTTAATGTAAAGACATTTTCATTAACTCTACACATTCAATCTATTTTAGTTTAAGGCACCATTTTGCAGGATAGGAGGTGAAATAATGTTTTATCAAACTGTTTTTAAAGGGAAGAAAGTATAAATCTATGTCATATATAGTGGAGCAGAAAGGCAATTAGCCTAGCTTAATTGATGACTAAACGCAGAGGTAATAACCGTAAAAAGATAAGACTTCTTAATATCCCTAAATGTTAAAGTCTTCATTCAATCCTTATATCCAAACAGTAATTAAAAAAAATGATAGTTTGTGGTTTTAGGGAGAGTTATGTGTTGCAACTATTTTTCCAAACCTTGGGCTAGCAACCTAGATATGATGCACAGAAGAACCCGCTAAATGGATTTGCTGTTCTTCTTCAAGAAGTAGTTTGAGCTTAAACTGTTAATACGTTTATTTCTTCAGCCAAGATCCAGGCTATGGTGAAAGTGTATTAGTAAGCTTCTATTAGCCAACATTGCATTTCGGGGCTAGCCTATCTAAAGAAGGCATATTTATCATAAGGCCACTATTTGATGCTGCTTACTGTAACTCTACTAATTGAGTTGAGTAAAAGGACCTATATTCACAGTCACTCGGATACAGGAATTGGAAATGCTTATGAGGAGGGTCTCTGACCTTCCAGTGCTGATGGAGGCGTTGTTGATGAAGGTTCCTGTAGAAGCACAGCTTTTGCAGGCCCCGGTAAGGGGGTTGTGGTGAAAGACTTGGCTGAAGAGGTAGAAAGGGGCCGACATACATTATCTGTCTCTCTAGTCCCCGGTGTGAGCAGCCCCTGAGCATGGCAGATCGTGTGGGTTCGGCACTTCAGCGAACTGGAGTCTGAGAAAGTTCCCTTGGTGCACTGCTTACACACCACATCGTCTGTTTCACTGCCCCGCCTCCTAACCCTGGTCCCTGGTGGGCACAGCGAGTGGGGCTTACACTCTGTGCCCCCAGCCCCAGACAGGAAGCTGTTGGTGGGACATGTGCAGACTCGGTCCTGGGTGGGCTTGCAGGTTGCTTTCTCAACGAAACCCCCTGGACATGGACCCCGGCAGGGATGGCATTTCTGCAGCCCGTTCTCCCCCCGTGTGAAGGTGCCTTCAGGGCAGCGGCTGCACTCCCTCACGGCTGTGACGGAGCAGTGGAGCGACACGTGGGTTCCTGCCGGGCACTTGTCACAGTCCAGCTGGGTGCCCGAGTCGGGGTCCGTGTGCTGATACTGTCGGGGGGAGAGGAGGGCTGGGTCGGCGGGGCTGGTAGTGTTTAAAACCCGGGCCGAGATGCCAACCACCACGGAACAAAAGAGCTAAGGAGAAGGAAGAGAAGAAAGAGGGGAAGTTTAGGAGAAATCAATAAAATTGTATTTTATGCAACAAGATTAAAGCCACATGTTTATTACATCCCACACTACTTAGAGTAACATTTCTGAAATAACTTATTAATCTGGCCAGCTGGCGACAGCAAAAACAAGTTCTGAAGACAACATTGACATATCATCACCTTTAAATGTGACATGTTGCCTATTTACAGATACAGCAGTCATATAGAACGATAAACAAGTACAAGTCACAAGATATGAGTGCTTTTAGCTGTGATAATATGCCAAAAGGCTAAAATACAACCATACTCACAAAGGTGTATACCTAATGGGAACATTACAAAATGGTTGTCAGTTTTCCTTTGTAAATGTTAAGATTTTGAAAAAAAGCTGGCAAAGCTTGTGGCACTAAACAGAGTTCTTACAATAAACCGACATACGCAATAAACGTGATATTTTAAAATGAAATACTGATACTAATAATACATTTATAATAATTCAGTGCTTCTTAATTAATTTCAGTTTCTTTCCGTTCTCTCTTTGTCTCCTCCTTCAAACACACAAATTAGTGTTATTCATTTGCCAAAAAAGACATTAAAGTTGGGTTTAAATGATAGCATAATTTATTAAATGTGTTCAAGTTTTCTTTAGATCTTAGGATCATTTCAATTCTTATCAAAAAATCATGTCAATCTGATGTTATGACAGGCCTAGCGCTAAAGCATTATTTATGCAGTTGCCAGTGTTATATTAGTCTCTTATTATTAGTAAGAGACCATCACCATTTAGGATTGTCATCCACAGACCATGAATACCCACATATTTATTAGTGATCAGAGGTTTATCTATCTTGTTCCGGATTAAAGGGATTTAACAGATAAATGGACCGACAGATGGACAGCTCACTGACACAAAAGAACCCAAAGCGCTCATTCCAACATAATTGAGACTCCTTTTCCATTAAGATGCATTTTTTATATTGGTTTGAACACATCGAATAAGACCCACACAACTAAAGCATGTTGTTGCCCAATCCAAAATAGTCTCCTGACAAACAGTGAGTAAGCCATGCAAAGATTTATCATTACAATATTTGGTTGGAAACATCACAGGCAGCAGACATGAATGTGTTTAGGGTTACATGGACTCAGGAAAGTCCAATTTCCGGAGCTACCATTTAGCTTCCCAATGGATGGTGTTTCTTTGATGAGATTTGTAGGAAAACATCTCTTTGAAAACCCATTTAATGCAGGGTCACTGTATGTTCTCAGTCCCTTGACTCATTCTGTCCCTCTTAAATTAAGTGCCCGGCAGTGCAGGGGGGGGGGGGGTTTGAAGACATGCAACATAACTCTGGCTTTACTCTCACCTCTGCTGGGAAGCTGACAGCTCACTGGGTTTAGGGGAATAACCCACACATGTCTAAAGGACTGAGTCATGTTGGAGGAATACCATCAGGCAGCCTCCTATTACATAATGCTCGAGGGCTGACAGTGTTGTACTGTCTCTTGTTTCCTTTGTGGAAAAATTAAACATTCTTAGTGAAAGTTATTTAGAAATGTATTGTAATTGTAGTTCAACTCATGTTGGATTTAACTTGTGCTTGTATTGTATTTTTCAATCATCGTATTTTAACCCTCTTTCTACTCAATTGAGAGAGACAAAATGTCTTGACCTTGGCACCATCCTCTCAATCACCAATGCACTCCCGGCAAGAATGATGACTCTGATCTGACACAGAAGCCAAACAGGAGGATACACAGTGACAGTGTGTGTGTCAGTGTGTTCTTCCCTGCTGAGAGTGTGTTTTCAGACAACGATTAGCAACCCTTGTGTGTGCATGCAGAACAAACAGTTCTGGTGGGATAGCAGTGATGCAGTGAGGGGAGAATTCTGCTGATGACGCACAGTACCTTGTGTGAATCTGAACTGTCCTGTTCTTCACTCTCACTCTGTTGCTGCTTTAACTCCTGAATTTCCCCACAGGGATAAACAAAGGTCCATCTTATCTTACATTACTGTTGGTCATCTGTTAGGACTGAACAAACACTTTGTTTAGGGTCATACCCAAGGGCGTCACTTTGGGTTGAAAAGTGGTGGGGTCATAGGGGGCAGAAGATTTATAATGTTGCACTATGCATTTGGGGGAGGGGGCCGATTTAGGTTAGATTGGATTATTTCCAAGATTGCAATGGGAAAAAACAAGAATCAATGTCAATAATGTTTAAAGTTGAATGCATTTTGGTCTATTTTTCATTATGTAAGATATTGGATTTCTTTAAACTAATGCTCATTCAAATCTATTTGATTCAACTTGCATTTTATGTTTTCTTATTGTGATATTACTGTGTCTCATTTGTTGGTAATCTTGTGCAAGATTGCAAGACATTTTTTTTTTTAAATTATATTAGATTTCACATAACTGCATTTGGTTAGTTGAAAGCAATAATATTAAGTTTGACGTAATATTTTTTATTTAAAATTAATATTATTGCTTTCAACTAACCTAATATAGTTATGTGAAATATGTTGACCAAATTCATTTAATTAAGGTCAATGTTTCAGTTTCTTCAGTGTAGTATCATTGCCTTAAGGTTCCTTTAAAAGTGAAGAGGTTAGAGGCCAATTCACTTTATCCATACAATTCATACATGTTGTTTAAAGTATTTGGACATCTTTAATTGGATCTACTATTGAGAAAATTGGAAAAAATCTATTTATTTTAGTCTAAGACTTTAGACTTATTCTAAGACATCAAGAAGGAATGAGGGCTACAAAAAGTCATTTCCCACAAACGTCTCTTAATGAAAATGTCAAGGAAGACAAACTGATTTTGTGATTAGTGCTAATAAGAATAAAGCAGTCCATTCTTTCAGCGCTCCATTGCCCTTTTAACCACACCACCCATTCTGCTCTTTGTGTTCATTCCCAGAACCTCATCCATAAACATCAGAGCGTGTTCTCGACGTGCTGCTCATAACTCTGTTTCGTCAGTAGAACATCAATGCATTCATTCACATCAATGTAAGACGCAGGAAGAGAAAATGTTGCTTGTTACGAGACACGGCCCCCCCGTGGCTCTTTCTGCTGGTTTTTAGAGATTTATTTGAGAAGCAGCATGCCCTGAACAATACCATAACTGAGGGCATGCCCGTAAAAAACAAGAACTGTGTGTTGGCTTAGTAAAGGACGCTCATAGTTTTCATGCCGGAAACTGTGATGCCGATTTTTGTCTGGGGAAGCAGGCTCATTAAGAAATACCAGGCAATTCCTGAGAGTCAAGAAAAGGAGCTTGATAAAAAAATGTAAGGTATCAATGATATAGATCAGTGGTTCCCAACCTGGGGGGCGCGCCCCCCTTGGGGGGGGCCAAAGATCGCAGGGGGGGCGCCAGGCCTCAGATGATTTGAGGCCAAATATCATATTTAGACTTTTTTTTTTTTTTACATATAATTAAAACGCAATACATGATTGTCACTAAAAGCCTTGTCTCTACATTACAATAAAATATAAAAAATAATTGATTAATTAATTTGAATAAAAATTCAAGTTAGTAGCTATTATAGGCATAAAAAGACAGAAATGTATAATTCTTTCTTTAATAGAAATGTTTCTTCTGCCCGTAAAGTGTCCAAACCAGGCTTTTCTGGATAAGCGTATTTTTAAAACATAGTCATTGTCCATGCCGGTTTCAGATTATTTGTCACAGTTGCTCCTATCAGATCGGTCTCCTCCATTTTGTAGATTATTTACGACTATTGAATCCACATAAACACATCGCCATAATCCAGCTTACTTTGAGCATGTGTTTTAAACAGTTTAATCTCTTTGTGAATTGTTTCTACTTGCGCCGTCCTTTAATTTCTTCATACAGCGGGAATCCAAATGAATTAATCCTGAGTCCAATAACCATCAAAGTCACTCCAATAGTGCTCCTTGATTACGCTTTCATCCTCCTTTAACAACATACTTCACATTCATCCAGTTTGTGACAGTAGTTGTAGCATTTTTGAGACTTTTAAACTTGAATTACCACCTATTGCGCCCCCCCCCCCAAAATAGTTTTTCATTACATATTTTTATTTACACCTGTGCTTTTCTTGCTGTGATACGTCAAATGTCTTCTGTTAAAAATGTTGAAAAACTTTACGCTCAAAAAGTGCAAGGCCAAGTTTAATTTGTTTTTCTAAGAATGTTGTTTTGTGTTTAACCACTACAGTCTGCTTCAAAGTTAAGTTCGTTTTAAGTGGGTTGTAAGTTCCCAATTTCATTTTACCCACTCATTTTATCTCGTTTTATCTCTTCATAAAAACATTTACATTTATTTTGTATTGGATGGCAAAATGCCAAATGTATCGCAGATATCGACTACTTGACATGCATTTTAATATTTGCAAGTGAGCTACAGAAACCACATATGAAACACTAAACATACTGTAGATGTTAATTATTAACCATACATTTTATATAGAGTTAAGAAATATTTACAGTACCTTGTCACACCTATTTACTTTGCAACGTGTTTATATACTGTACCATGGTGACTTATGTCACTCTGCATTAATGTAAAGTAAATATAGAGTTTTACATGCATATGCTCTCAACTATATCATAAAATGAAATGTATTGAAGTCAATGGAAGACTGGTCATATGCTCTTGACTGACCCAGATGATGAGGTTCTGTGAGCACTTACAGTAAATCAGCCAATGAGGATAATTACTGCAATAACTGCTATTTAACATGACAGGGAAAGTGCAGCAAACTAATGACCAATGAGCAAATGAGATGCTTACATTTGGTCAGTGTGTGTGTCTTTCTGTACTCTCTATAACTACCACTCCCTACTATCAGACACAAGCAAACACTCTTTTGTCACCCTACTTACTGGCACTAAGAAAATCAAATGCCAACAAAGACACAAAAAGCAGAAGAGGAGACAAAGTGCAGTGCTGGCACTTTGTCAGTACATCCCTGCTAACACAGACTTCACACATGCACACACACAGATAGCAGACAGGCTCTCTACACAGCCACCTCTGCAGTTCAGCAAAGCATGAATCAATTTCAGTCTGAGTGCTGCCAGCCTTCCTCTTATTATGCCAACTTTGTCTCTACAGCTTGCCGCACTGCCTATAAACTACATCACCTGGTGCATAGGCCGGACAGCCAATCAGACGCCAGACACAGGGAGATGAGGAGATCTGGGCTCTTCTAATCCATTTTTACTCCCACATAGGTTTGTCCAGCTCCTTATGCACTGCAGTCTTTAAAATATTCAAGATTCAGAGGATGTATTGTCATACGCATAACAGCTACAGAGTAAATATTGGCTATGAAAATCTTTAGTCCCAGGCCCGATTATACTTGAGACATAAAAGGAACAAATAAAGACATTGAGGTATCAAATCAAGTGAGCAGTAGGTTCATTTTCTCATAGACTTTTATGGAAATAGAACCCCTTCCTGGATGTTGGAAAGAAAACAGGTTTAAGGGACTTTTGGCTTCACCTCTTTGACCCCTGGCTTCACAACAAATGTAACCCTAATGACATCACTATGACATCACCAGTTATTTTCTCAGACTTTGCAAAGCTTCACCAGAATCACAGAAAGATTTCTACAAACTGAAGACTTCACAGATTTCCTTGTATCTGCTAACAATGCTGATGACCTTCCACCCAGTAGACACTACAATATGTTTGCGGAAGGCACGACCAAGACTTTTCTTAACATCTTCTTCCCCTGTTCTCAATGTACAGTTATTCAACTAACTTTACAAATAGTTATCAGCCTGTAAAGATGTTCTGTGATTCTGGAAACAGCATGATGTTCATAGTGTATATAATGGTCCCATGTTAAGTAAAATACACAATAAAGCTGGTGTGCTTTAGGGTGTGGCTACCTTGTGATTGACAGGCTTTTGCATCATCCGTGTTTTCGTCAATTGTTTTTTATTAAAGTTAATAAAAAAATTGGTGTGTCCTATTCAGTGTTTGGTACTAAACACCTGGTGTTACTTCTGATAAAGCAATCCAAGATAACGATGACTAAAAACTAAATGCCAAACTTGTGGCTTCAAAATGGTAGTCCACAAATAGATGGGTGATTTCATTGTTACTACGCTCCCTCAAACAGTATATGGTGTATGATTTTGTAACTAGCGGTAATAGTCATTTTTTCTAAATTAGTTAGGATCTATGCTTGCTGGTGCAACTCAATTTAAAGGACTTTGACTATGCTGTATGCTGAGGTTTGATCCATTAGTGGACCTCTCAGCTGATGCCTCTGTGACGCACTGACAGAGTGAAGCAAAACACAGTGGGTGGAGTCCTCAGGCAGCTCTTGTTTACATCAGAGGAAACATTGTGGCACCACTGCACTGCAGAGCAGGTTCCTGTGAAACACACAATTCCATAATACAACACACACACACACACACACACACACACACACAAATGAAACAACCAGCCAACTGTGTGACTCCCTGCCCGCTGACTGTCTGTCTGAGCAGAACACCCTGTAACTCTACCCCCAGGAGCAGCCGGCCAATCAGAGACACGCCCAGGACCCAATTGGCCCGGAAGGCAGTGGAGCAGAAGCAAAAGTGAGAGGGTACATCTTTTTTTAGGTGAGAGGTAGTTAAACCTGAACCTCTTCCCTGTTCTTGTGTGTGAGCAGTCTGCACATGTTTGGCATGTGATTGGTCATGTCTGCACACATACTTGATCAGACACTGTTTGTTTACACTGGTATAAGAGTTAAGACGAGACACTAATAAAGCAGAGGATAAGGCTCGGTGATATAGACAAAATCATCTATCCAGATATAGGTCATTTCATATCTCAAAAACAATAAATGTCACAATAAAGTGTGTTTTCTGGTAATTAAATAAATATAAATAACCAATATTTAAAACCCATTTTTGTAATCTTGTGTTTGAATTACTTGACTTGAAATATTTTTTAGATTCTAAGAACTTTAGTTCAAAATGAACAAAACAGTTTTGAATGAAATAATAGGGGAAATAAATGAATGTACGTCTAGCCTAAAAAGTGATAATAGAGAATTATAAAAATGTATTCTCGTTTGAATTATATATATTTGTCAAATTGCCACAGCCCTATTAGTGGATGAGGGTGTGTTAACATGGGTGATGTCTCTGTGTCACACACACAGTATCATATTCAAGAACAATATGTCCCACCTCTTTGCGCATGTGCTGCCTAGAGCAGTGGTTCTCAGCTGGTCAGGCCTCGGAACCCACTTTTTTCCTTTGTCAATAAATCGCGACCCAACATTTTGAACCACTCAAATCTATTCAACAAAAAATCGTGCTGTAATATATATGCTTTTCAGCATACAATATTAATTAAAGTGAAGTACAGTGCATAAATCCCTTCACAGAACTAAAGTATGCTTTAAAAAAAGGTTTAATGAGATGATGGTCATCAAGTTTCTAGAATCATAGCTGAACTGTATAATATAAAAAGGCACACTTGTATCAATAAAAAGGCAGACTTGGAGCCAATCCTGCAAATTTACCACACGTGAAAAATGTGACATGCTGAAAACCCAACCCCAGAAGGGGGGTCTGGGGGGATTGTCCCCCAGGAGATTTTTAGAAATACTAACATATAAACTACGCATTCTGGTACACTCTGAAAAGAAAAGAAATAAATCTATTACTACCCGACATATTAATAATATTTTATGCCATTGTTTGTTTTTCACTTGCTGCTCTACACAGAGAGAAGAGTAATAGTCTGTGTGAATTACTTTAAATTGTGGGTAAGGGTAGACAGCTCCCATTGTTCTGTGACCTGTCAATCGTCAAACTGGGGGTCATATTTCATTATGTGTTCATTTTTATCTGAAGTTGTACCCATGGATGTATAAAGAATAGTTCTACCCAGAGCCCTATAATAGAAGAGTTGCGACATCTCCGTTCACTCCAATGGACAATTTTCTTACAGCAATGGCGGATCGTGGAGCCTCCTCAATAGTTCCCGGAAGTTAGCGGCAAAGCTAGCAGCGCAGTATAGTTGCAGCATAATAGACCGTTTGTGATGGACTTTCAAAGGTAAGACGTTTAAAGATTTATATTGCGGATATTATCAGCACATCTGAATCAAATTAACATGTGAATTAAAGCATGTTAGTGGATTATCCCCCTCTAAATGAGTAGATTTAGGGAACGATAACAGATTAGGCTAGGATACCGGATAAAGTTAGCAACACACGTTAACCATGATCAGCCTTTTAATTGTAAATTCCGTTCTCTTAATGTCATTTCGTCCAACGTTGTGGAATTAGAGAAAAGGGGCTTCTAAATGTGATTTTATGCGGGGTGGAGGGAGTTAAATATTAGTTAAATATAACATTGGGGCGTGTGATTGTAGTGGGTGGAGGTGGTGAAATGAGGATATCCATTTTGGAGTTCAAGCTAGTATATTATAGTTAACGTTACATAATAATAAGGAAGAGAGCTATTTTTGCGATACATCGCTATTGATATGGATTTAGAGTGCATATTTGAGACTTCTAAACAGTAAACAAAAACGTAACTTATGAGTGAGTGTTTTTAGCAGAGCCATATTGTCTTTGTGATTCTGTTGATTATTACCTGCCTATATTATGTTGCAAAGGGAGAGGGACTTAAGTGAGAGTGAAAACACAAGGTAAGTTTAAAGGGGACCTATCATGCAAATGCACTTTGTGATGTCTTTTATACATAAATATGTGTCCCCGGTGCGTCGGGGAACTCACGCAGCGTCAGAAAATAAAACCCTCTCTCTTTTCCTCCGTACCCAAATCTTTTAAAAACGGGTGTACAGCGAGCGGATACAGATTCCATCCGATCTGACGTTGAATCGGCGGCGGACCCACAGAAAGTTGCTATCAGAAAACAATGCCTGACGTGTTTTGGACGTCTTTGTTTACATTCGCTAACACTCAGAGCTAACCTGTACTGTAGAGCACATGTGTTTAAAAAGCAGGAAATAAAAAAAGAACTCACCTTGTGATAAACCTGCAAGAGAAAAAGCATTTGAGCTCCATACTATTTCAGAAATAATCCTTGACGTGGTTTAAACAGGATGGCGAAATATCACAACCGAATTTAACTTTATCTCCGGTAGAATTCTGATCAGGCATTAGCTCCGCCTCCTCTTATTAATTTTTTTCAAGCTAAGGACCCAAAATCTGCGTTTCTCTAACATGGCTTCAAAAGAGGGGTTTGAGCAGTATGAGGCATGGCTACAATGGGTGATCTGTTTGGTATTTTGAAAAAAAGACTTCACAGACATGTTTTATATAGGTATACAGTACAATATCTTTTTCAAATATAGCATAATAGGTCGACTTTAAAATAGGTTAGCAATTTCCCATCCTATAGGTTGCTAGATGTATCTAACCCTTTCTCCTGTCTTTGTCTCCCTCTTTCAGCACAAGAACCTCAGGGGGATTCAATGGAGCCTGAAGACCTGCAATGAGACCCTCACCCTGCACCTGAGTCTCAACTCCCAGAGTTTTGCAACCCTCTCCCTGTTCCTTATTTGTATTAAACGGACATTAAGCTTCCCAATGGTGTGATCTTCGTTTTGTGAAAAATATGATTACCTCACATAATTTTGTTGCTGTTGTTGTCTTTTGTGATAGTTAAATTGCTCCTGCTGACTTGAGCCAGCCATTCTTTCCTCCTCTCTGTGTCAGTGGGGAAACTTTACATTTGTACTCCTTTCTCTGAGCGATTGGAGCATCCCCAGGCAGCACAGCAAACCATGGAGGAGACTATATGCCAGGACAACACGGAGGAAAAGGCACAGACAAACTGCATGACATCCTATTTAATGTTTATTGAATTCCATTTATTTACAATGGGGGCGTGTGGCATAGTGGGTTATCCGTAGGTGTTCGGATCAGGTGGTCACAGGTTCAAACCCCACTGCAGTCAGCATGTCGTTGTGTCCCTGAGACACTTCACCCCAAATTGCTCCTGTGGGGATTGCCCACAATATTGAGTATGTAAGTCGCTTTGGATAAAAGCGTCTAATAAGTAACATGTAATGTAATGTAATGTTCCTAAAACAACACATTTAACATCATCATGCTGCTGCTGCTAGTCCTTTGACTCATTGTGCTGTCAGTTGACAATCATTGATAGGCACCTGTCGGTCTCCTGTCCTTTCTGGAAGTCATACATATTACATTAGTCATTTATATTACTTATGTCCTCAATTACCATGGGATTACTGAAACCACCATGAATTAAAATGGTAGAAATTAATCTAATCAGAATTTTGAAACCTTCCTTCCCATCCCCTCCCTCTAAATATATCAATAAACATTAGGATGTGATGCTTCTGACTACCATACAAGTTTAAGAAGATAATATTTGTTTTAAAGAATTCAAAGCAATACACAACAGCAACAGGCTCTTTAACCAAGGCAACGTTAGCCTAACATGTATATGTCAACAAGGCAGGCAAGATAGCTGTTCACACTATCTATGTATATGTTCTACTTTTTGTAATGCTATTTTAATTCTATTTGAGATGTTTACATTTTGGATTGTTTATTTCTAGTATTTTACCTTCTCTAATGTACAATGCCTTGTCTTTTGCTGCTGCAATGCAAACATTTCCCAAATTGGTATCAATAAAGTACTTCTTATCTTATCTTAATCCTCAAATATTAGCGAATTTGACTTTTTTTTTAAAACATATTGATGTAACTACATACACATATTGATATGTTGTATAAATATTGCAAATCAAAACCTTTATTGACCACTAATTACCAAAAATCGCAGTTCTATCTCCTGTTATTAATGCAGTAAAATGGCCCGCCACGAACTTCCGGGAACTATCTGAGTCTCCATGAACCACGTGACGATCAAGCATTTTGGACTTCCGCTGTCGCAACTCTTCTATTATAGGGCTCTGGTTCTACCGCAAAGTTATTCTCCGTGGGGACTTCCGGCAACAATCTTGATTCTGATTGGCCAGAAGACTGAAAAAAACATCAGCAAGGATGTTTTATTGAGAAGATGATCACTACGTGACAGAAGTTTTCAAAGCCGTTTATGATCTCCGGTACTTCCAGTCCAACGCCTACTGAATGCACAGCATTAGAAAACGGGCCTTCAAAAATAAGTTTGAAATTTTTCTGAAAAAAGAAAAAACTCACACATCTGCGACCCACTTTTGGGTCGCGACCCACCAGTTGAGAACCACTGGCCTAGAGCATTCTGAAAAATCAATGCATTATTGATGTAATACCTCAGTAGAATTACAGTAAACACCCAATGTCTCATTACTGAGAAATTGATGTGAATTGTACAAAAAAATATGTGACGTCACTGGTAAGTTTCTGGGTTGACATTATGATTCTGGTATTTAAGTACTTTAACCACAACATTCCATTTCAGTAAGTTTAGAGTAGAGTCTGATTAAATCCACCACAATTAAAAGTGAGAAACACCTGTCACTTAAGCTGAATTACTCAAAAGTGCCCTTCTTTAATTCCAGTATTACTTGTTAAATTAAGTACCTAAATTAAACTAAAGCCTCTCAAGGTCCCATTTTAGTGGATAAGTGTGCTGACATTGTA